AAGATAATGTAAGCGGTAAAGATAACGCAAGCGGTAAAGATAATGCAAGCGGTAAAGATAACGTAAGCGGCAAAGATAACGTAAGCGGTAAAGATAACGCAAGCAGTAAAGATAACGCAAGTAGTAAAGAAAACGCAAGTGGCAAAGATAATGCAAGCAGTAAAGGTAAAAGCAATACTAATAATTAAGAACATAGACGCAGTAATAGTATTGCCTAGTAAAGAAGATGCATTAAAGTTGCTAACCAAGAGCTAGTACTAGAAATAAATCACAGCCCTTTATATTACAGCAGCTAATGTTAATCTTAATGCCTGTCTTCTTATTGCATATTCTAAAAACAGCAGCTATCCTCCTAAAGGTCATTCTGTTATTCCCCTTAGAAAAACGCTTAATAAGGATAAACTGTTTGCTATTATCTAGACTGAGTATAACGTTAACTTTTTACTTCTTCTTTTAACCTATTAACAGAGTTCAGTTACTAAACTAGATAAGGTTTAAATCGTTTATAATATAGCCAGCGATATATATCATCTACGTTAAAGGACTAGGGGAATAAAGAATATTATATGCATTACTAACCTTATAACTAGCGCTAAGTATTCTTTTCTCTAGCCTTTAAAATATATAATTATTATATAACCTGGCGTCTAGAGAGTTTTTATAAATAAACCTTGCTAAAATTTCAATACTATTATTAATATTTTAGTACTTATAAGGCTATATAAAGTTATAATCTATAGGTCAGAGCTAGAGGCTGCTTAGGATATAAGGAAGCAGCAGGCTCTTAACATTCTAAAATATAAAAAACCAGCAGAGTAATAAAGGACACCTTTAATAGATCTTTTCAGCCCTAGGAAAATTATTCATATACCTACATAAACTCCTATATTAAAGGAGCTTTATAATAGAAGTATAGCTAAGGTCTTATCTTAATATGCTTCCTATACCATAAAGAAAGAACAGTGCATATATAAAAATGGCTTAACAGGTGTCTATAAATATAGGCATTTAAGTCTAAAGGTTATAGTCGTGAAGTTCTTTCACTAAAAACCTTATTAAAATTCTACTAAGCTCTGCTAAATTGCAGAAGTATAGAAGAAGGAGAGGAATATGCTTACGTTATTAAAACATATAAGTGTCCCTAGAAGCTTAAAATCATATCTTAATCTAAAGTCATATTAGGAGAATATTATTAAACTTCTAGCTGCTAATGCTTATATATTTACATTATATCTAGAGCTCCTTCCCCTATCCCTTGGTAAGATAATTTAAACTTAATAATAAGCATTCTTAGTATATAACATATTAAAAATAATTTAAGAAATATTATTAGCTCTTAGCTACTTAAAGACTAAGAATATGGTCTATTATAATGTTAAACCAGGCAATATTGCCTATTCTAATATCTAAGGTGCTATTTTACTAGACTTTAGGTTATTAAGTGCTCTAGGCAGCGATATGTGTAGTATATATAGGTATCTCCCCCTAGAGACATTTAAGAAACACCGGGATAATTTTATAAAAGACATATAGGCTCTTAGCATTATAATGCTCTTTATTTATAGAGATATTAAGGTGCTAGAGTATTTAACTTTTATTTACCTATCCTTATTTACATTTTTATATAACCTATATAGAGGTTAGTAAGACAGATATCTCTTTCTAGTAATAAGGGCGCTAGAGGTTTAGACAGTTAAGATAGAGCAGGAATTAAGGCTTTATCTACTAGTAGGTAAAATGCTTTATAAGGATAAAAAGGCATAAGTAAGAGCATATGATTTATTAGTAGCAGCTCTAGAGCTACTAAACTTGTTTATAACCTAATACTTACATATCCTTACTATAATATATCTAGTAATTTAAAATCTGCTGTTCTTTATTCTATACTATATGGTTACACTAAGCCCTGCTGGATAATAACAATATCCTCATAAACCCTAAATCTAAAACCTCCTATCCTTTAGACTACGCCGCTGCACCTAGCCCTGCCAGGATAACAACCATGTCTTTAGAACCGATAAAATCAGAACGCATCCCTTAGACTGCACTGCTGCACCTAGCCCTACTAGAATAACAACCATGTCTTTAGAACCGATAAAATCAGAACGCATCCCTTAGACTATGCCGCTGCACCTAGCCCTGCTAGAATAATAACTATGTCTTTAGAACTAATAAAATCAGAACGCATCCCCTAGACTACGCTGCTGCACCTAGCCCTGCTAGGATAATAACTATGTCTTTAGAACCAGTAAAATTAAAACGCATCCCCTAGACTGCGCTACTGCACCTAGCCTAATCTATAACGCGCTTATAAAGAGCGCAGCTTGCCTAAATAATCTAACTCCTAAAATGTAAAATGTCCCTTTCGCCTAGCAGACCTAGTGTTTATAGCTCTTAAAGACTGTAATAGGTTAGAAATTTAGGATGCGTTCTTTATCTTCTAATTGCTATGTCTAAAACAAAGACTATCCTTAGTTCTAGCGACTTTCTTACTTATAACTTATTTAAGAGATAAAGACATGCTAAAAGTCTCTATATAAGCAGTATAATCTTCTAATTTTTAATGCTTTTATCTGTGATTGTTATTCTTGACATTATCCTTATGCCTGTTATCTTTTCCTCTAGATCTCTTTCTAGACGCTTTTTAATATATAACAGGCAAGGGCAGGGAAGGGCGGTTAGTAGACGTTAGTTTAAGAGTAAAAGAACTCTTAAGCAGTTAACGCTTATAAACATAACCGTGCTTATTATTATTCTTATTACATCTCAGTCTCTTCTTAAATATACTTTAATATATAACCGGTAGCGGCAGGGAAGGACAGTTAATAAACGTCAGTTTAAGCCTAGCAGCCCTCTAAAGCTTATAACGCTTATTACTAGGACTTTAATAACTATTGCTTAATATAGCTGTTACAGTTTTATAGTGTGATATAATAGCTAGCGTTACTAAGTCTAATCCTTAATTACTTAATTAAGCCCTCTTCTTAGATAAGTAACTTAGTTAGTCTAAGATTAAGCATGCTTAGTAGGAAAGAGAAATAACATAAATAAATAACTAACCGCTTTCTTAAAGTAGTCTGCATACTTAGACTCTTAGCCTTCTTAGACTTGTCTTTATATTATAAAAGGTTAGTAGTAATATCCTAAGGTTATATTACTAAGCAATACTTATAACTATCTAGTTATAGCCTACAGTTGCTGTAATAATCCAGCTTTTATTTACAGGTCCTATAAGAAAGGAGCTGCATTAACTTGCACTTTTTATAAGAACTTAGTTTAGTGTTATCCCCCCTCTTCTATAAATCATTAGTGTTAATTATAACGCTCCTTACTTTATCCGCTTCCTATCTAAAGACAGTACCCTTTAACAGGTGCATAAAAGCCTTAAGGGTACTATAGCACGCCCCTATTACTGCATTCCTAGCATCTTAATATAAAAAGGTTTTATTATTATGGATTATCTCTAGATAACATCTCTTTATAAAGTTAAGTAAGTTCCTTAGCTCTTTATTATTTTCTTCTTAGAAGAGTCGCTTAAAGTCTTCTTAACTTTTCGCACGCTTTGCTAACTTAGTTGCCTTAAACCTATAGCAAGTATAATGCAAAATAGGGATTTAAATGGTATTATAATGCTTCTAGTATAATCTGAAAAGAACATTATAGCCCTGCATATCAGGCAGGACAGTTTAATCCCATAAAGCAGTTAACCTATAGGAGGGTGACGGGGCTTAGAACGTGTATAGATGCATTATATATTACAGCTCGGCTCGGCTTGCGTGCGATTATAGTTATGGTCTTGGTCTTGGTCGTGGTTGTGGTCGTGGTTATAGCCGTGGTTATAGTCCTGGTCGTGGTTGCAGTTATAAAGAGATTAGATAGTCTTAATAATATAAAAGACTTACTAAGAGAGAAGGTAGGCGCTGGTATTATTATAGGAAGTTTATAAAGGCTAGTAATATGAGAATATCACGCAAAGTGCAAGGCAAGGCGCAGTGCTTTATATATATAGTGTAGACTATATATTAAACCTTCTAAGTATTACCAGCACCAGAAGGTAAGTACTACCTAGGTACCTAATAATACAGTCTGTATAAGTATATATATAACATAGTCCTAAAGGGGTTAAACCTAAATAGTGTATACCTAATAAATGCATAGGCGATAATATTACGTTATTAGTCTTAACTTGCAAAACGTTCTATAATAGGCAGAGAACGGTAGGCGTTAACTCCATTTTCACCAGTTAACAGAGGCCACGGTCGGCAGATCCTCGGGAAGGTTTAATAACTAGAGGAGGTTCCCCGTCTGCTCCCCCATAGATAAGCCACTAACCGGCAGATTAGTAGTTGGGTGGGTGACCACCAGCGAACACCGGCTGTTGTATGTTTCTCTTTTTCTTTTTGCTTTTCGAGATTTATACCTTTTGTTATCCGACCTTTGGTGCATACGTACTTCATACATCGATGTGTAAGAAGAAGGTTTGGCGATGTGCCCCGCTGACACGCCTTTGAGGAGCTTAGAAGGGAACTCTTGCCAGATACATAAAGGAATAACGCCAAGTACCTTGCCTTGAGGAGCATCTGGAGATGAAGCGCCTGGCATTCGTCGTCCACTGACGAGTTTGTGACTGGTGCTGGAAAGTTCCATCTGGAGCTCATTGTTCTTAGACACATGGAAGTTCAGCACGGTTCTAACCCCTTAATCCCCTTCGTTTTTCCTCTTCATCTTCAGCGACTTGGAGAAGCAGAAAGAAAGCCAGGAGTTTGCATCACTGGTCAAGCAGCTCTGCTCTTGAGGACCCGACACACCCCAGCCACCCAAAAGCTTGTATGAGCCGAAATGAGGCAGTTATCAACACAGCAATGAGTAACCCTCTGTCTCCGCTGTAGAAGGAAGCTGTCATTGATTTGATTGTTCAACGGGATGATCTCGACCATGATATTGGGTTATTCATCGATTTAACGTTAGCCTATGATGAAAGCCGCTCGTGGACAGAGAACATGAGAGCGGAGGCAAGGAAGCCGTTGATTGAGAAGGCGGATGGCAGGTAAGTGACAGCCAGGAATCTGGCGCATATACAAGATGCAAAGTCTGACTAGAGACTCCAAGGTTTCAGTACGTTCCCTTCCGGTCTGAAGCCTCGCGACGGGATGAAAACTACGATAGAGAACCTGCCTTTCACGTGCGGCTGCTACCGCAGTGCTATACCGCGCACCTTGGCTTCCCTGAGCTTGATCGACATGCTGCTCTCCGGCGAAATTGGGGTAGATGAATACTTATTTGGCAGGAGACGGAGATCAAGGCTTGCTGGACACGGGTTTTGACGTAAACGCAGAAGGAGGTAAATGCGGCAACGCACTGCAGGCAGCCTGCGAGGGCGGCATCATCGAGGTGGTGCACATATTGCTCGATCGAGGGGCCAAGGCGAATGCGTAAAGGGAGAGGGGGCGGGGTCACAGAATTGCGCTCCAGGCGGCTTGTATCGGCTGGTATCGAAGGACAGATATATCCAGGCTTCTCCTTGAGCATGGCGTGATGTTCATGCGCAGGTAAAGTTGCCAAGTCGATTGGTCGGATTCGCTTCCTGATGGACCACGGCGTCAACATCAGCAAACATCTCTGTGGACGAGTCCCATCAGGTGTCTCCTATGCTTGCATACAATCTGATGAAGCATTGTATTCATATCTTTGCTGAGTTCCATTTGTGGATGCAATACTGCTCGAGGCATGTGATGCTATTTAATCAAAGATATAACGGAGTTCAGGCTCCTCATCCTTCGCCTCACGAGCTGCTATTTCATTAGCCAGCAGCCTAGCAACAGCCTCATGCCCGACTATAGCAGCCCGTAATAGGCGCCTCTTATCTTTTCCCTTAAGGTTAGCTCCCTTATCAAGCAGCAGCCTAGCAACAGCCTCATGCCTATTCTCAGTAGCCAATAATAGCGGCGTCTGGCCATACCTATCTTGCGCCTTAAGGTCAGCTCCCTTATCAAGCAGCAGCCTAGCAACAGCCTCATGCCC